CTATTATTATTCAATATGTTTATATAATTAACGGTTTATAACAGGTAATACAATGAATTGTTTCGAATAATAAAAGAAAAAGTATAGCCAGATGATTAACATACACGATAGCGGTATTGTTGAGCAGATACGCGGTATAATGTGGATTCGATTTAATATACCCCGATACCGTATACCATGACGACGATACATTAAGGACTTTCCAGTTATACAGCTGTATAACTGTTTATTAAATGTAGGAGTTTTGTTATTATTTTTATAAAAATAATCAAAATTTACGATATAATAATTGAACAAAGTAAATAAATAAAATATATTAGATAGGACAGGTACATAAAATGTTAGAAAATAGTTTGAATGATTTTCATGTAATTCTCAGAAAAGTTTATAAACCGAACATGTGAAACTTTAACATAGGTATAATAATAATATTCTATTTCTATTTTAAATTTAAAGCGACAAAAAATCATTGAATATTCGATAAAAGTTTCAGATTGAAGTCTATAAATCGATGTTTTTTCTTTCTCCAAAACCGTCGGTGCCCCAATAATTATAGAATATATAAATCAAAGTCATCAAGTGTTTTTACCGATTTGAGGACAACAAATTTAAAGTAAAGTAGTATGGCATGGCGTAGGTACTATATGTCTATATAGTATACCTACTAATGTACTATAATAGTACCATACTATTACGAGTGCGTCTTACGAGTTAAACCGATCACTGAGTGTATTCCAATATTATGGCCACTGTTAAGCGCCAGAATTTTCTCGAGCGGTAGGGCTGTGAAATGAGTTTTTTATTTAAAAAAAATCGTCCCATCAATTCAAACATATACTATTTCGGTAACGACACGTTAACCGCGACTTCTGCAGTGGTGGAAGTCGGGTACATCATCGCCGCGGCTACACAACGCAAGTGTTTAATAAAACAACAAAATATATCATACGCTGTCGTGGTCGTCGACGTATATATTATAACTCATCGATCGGACGACAAAACGGCCGTGTTAAACCGTTCCGTACAAATGACCCGCACTGTTCACACAGTCATTAATCTTTGTTACCATATAATATATTATTATTATTATAACATGTACGAGCGATGCAACTCTTCCGCGAGCGGGTTCCAAACAGTGAGGCCCATAACGCGACCGCCGCTGAGGGACAGCGACCACTACGACGACGACGACGACGACGACGACGATTTGTCATCGGATTAATGTCGATCGCGTATATCCGGACGACATATTGTCATAAATAATGACACAAGTGTGCCACCGCATAATTGGACCGCCGCCGTTTCGAAATTAAATCCCACGAAAAATGACCCGTATTCGTATATTATTATTATTATACGACTGATTCTGTAGTTCTGTTGCTGCAGGGGTGGACGAGTGTTGTATATAATTCGTGTGACGTTCCGTTTCGTAGTCGTCGGTCGGACATCCAGAAATGTGAACGGGCGAGCTCACCCTCACACACACACAAGCACAATAGCATAATTTTGATAAATTTATCGTTCGTTTTTGTTTTTTTCCGGTGGTGGGGGGGGGGGGTGTCAAAAAAGATTATATTAACCCCTCGTTCGAAAACGGTATACGCTTTGTTTTAGGCAGCCATTTTTCTTCAGAGTGCTTTAACCAGTAATCTTCTTTGCCCTTTAGGACCCTTTTACTCGACGAATATATAGTACGACCCTCCCCACATAACAACATTCTTCCAGCGCCGCTGCTTTATTAATAATACGATAGTGAATTCCCGAATAAAAACTTATAATTTGACTGGATTATGCACAATTCACCCGACGAAACTTTCCTTTTGTTCGCATCGTTCAAACGATAATATAAATTCGTACAATTTCATTATTTCGACACATATACTGCAGAGTATAAAATATAAGAAGGTAGGTAGCTCGGCTTCGATTTTATTATCGATTTGGAACCCTAGACTACAATTTGGGGGTGCAAAGCGACGAGTTTGTGCCCTCGTAACGCGATACATATATTATGATGGTCACACACACACACACACCCTGCATCTCATACGCACACAAATGCATTGTGAAATTAGATCCTGTGTGTCTAAAGAAAAGCAAATAACGGTGACGATACCAGTGCTTAAGTTTAAATGTCTATATAGGAACCACCCGCATTAGTTGAGCTCACCATATTATTATTTCGAAAAAGCGGAGAGCACTAATTTTGTCGAGTCTGGCGCGTATAACCTTCCCGCGAATACCGTTTCTCAGCTTGCCATCGTAGCTGTGTTGGACGTTATATTATGAATAATATACTTGCCATTCGTTATTTATAAATTTATTATTAAAACCGTTTATATACGTCCCGCACATAATATTATATCAACACGCTTTAGAATGATATTATAAATTATATTATTATAACAGAAAACGTGCAGCGAACCCTTCCTGCAGCATCGTGTTATTCTGCAATCATAGTCATATTATTATTATTATACCTATATATTATATAGGTGCTTATATGTAACAGATAATATCAGAGGTTTAAATTGAATCGATAGCATTATAATAATATTATATTGTGTATAGTCGCGGGTTCGGCTCGTGACGTCAAACAGTAGATCTCAATACAACAACTACCTATACAAACCAGAAGAGATGAAAATATTATTATAATATTATTGTTCCACCTTATTATATTATTTCGTTTCGTCGTCTGTTCGGATAATCGTCTCTGAACCTGCGACCTATCATCGGCTACCGAAAAGTCTCGTGCGACGTACTATACGTCTATCGCGACGAACACGTCTTCAGCACGAACATTATCATACAATACCGACCGCACTATAATGGATTGTGGCGTTGAAATTATTTTAACAACGCTCTTGTTAAATTGAGTTTACTCCAACACAATGAAGAGCCGTTTCTCTTTATTTGCTCTGTGTGGGTGTGGGTGTGTGTGTGTCCAAATACAATATACACGTCATGTACATCGATCAAAACTTTACACGCGATTCATCAAAGTATTTTATGGTCTTTTCCGTTTCGATTAGTTTTGCATTTTACGTGAGGGAAGTCGGATGATGGTCTCAATACTCAATAGTAATTCGTTATGAAGCACTGATGAAATGATAAAACATATTATTATGGGCACCTATTCTGAATCTTAATAATATAAGATTTACACAGTGTGTTTTCAGAATATGTGCATTGTACAATACTGTTTTACAAACCGAATTAACATTCTTTTTTTATTAATTAATAAAACAATAGTTTTATATTTGAAGTTGGTTTAAATTTATAGTATTTATTATTTTATTATAATTGTGTCCAACAAAATATTTTATAATTGTAATAACGACCCAATTGGGTCCTTATAATTATAGGATTCTGTAATAATTATAAGTATAATATTGTTTTATTGTAGCAATAATATTCTATAATAGCAAACAAATAAAACGGTGTACTTTCCAAAGTTAAAGTATACGGCAGCATTATACTTACACGATTTTATAAGGTAGTTAGGTGATATAAGTTTCTGTAAATAAGCTATTTTTAACAAAATTATAAGAATAGATGAACTATAAAAGTATTATTTTATTTTTATGTATTTTATGTATTTTAAGGGGCTTATTTTAATGTTTTCAGTACGCTTTTGTATACTTTTAAGTTTAAGTGTATAACCCCGGATTTGTTTTATGGTTACTTTATATTTATGCTGTTTTAACTAATTTTACTTTATAATAATATCAAAGCTGAGTAAGAGAAAATGTCAGTGCACGCTCACCGAGCAAAATAATATAATTGTACACAACAATTATTAATCTGCTCGGCCTGGTAAATAAATAAATAATATAACCATAACACGTTTTCTATTAAAATATAGCTGCATATTCTTAGAATGTTAAAAGAAGAAAAAAACTGTGTCGGCCCCAATTAAAATTCCGTGTCACCTTCGTATACTCGACATTCTGTTTATTATATTATATAATATATTATCATAATGACGTGTGTTAATTAATCAACGACATATTAATTATAACCGCACTGCAGTGGTTGTTTTTTGGGATCTAAATTTACGTTTAGTGAAGAATCATAACTGTTAGAAAAGAATACTTTATACACATTTTTTTAATGTTTTATTTTTGATTTCTTAAAAAAAATTTAATTACCTGACCTAAAGACGTAATCTAAGCCTATAGCTATACTGAAGGACATATTATAATACAATATTATTGACTATTGTATCATACCACTTTCAGGTTTCAGCTAAACTAAAAATCGGTACCTAAAAAGTATTGTTGCTATGTAATATATATATTAACCTTTTACCTACATGTCAATAATGAGCTACTCTGCCGGAAGGAAACGAATGGATTTCACGGTTAAATCTCCTCGGATGCTCTGTCGACAGTACCTATTTAACATAATAATATTATACCGATATACACGTGTAGGAATCGACGTAATTAAGGGGCTAGGGCCCTAGTGGCTTATTCACTCATAGACGATTTTAGCCCCCTGTAAGCTTTTACTTTTTAGCCCTTCCTGGTGAAAACATGCTAATCACTTGTATAAAAAAAATGTACTTATCTTGAACACTCCAGATTCAATACACATTACACATAATATGTAGATTTGTAGATTGTATGTATACCTGCAACGGACGTGCATCATTAGGCGATTCACATAATATAACAAATCGCCATTCAATTTATTATTTAAAAGAATCAATTTGTGTGGTTATACGCACTTAGTCACGGTGATCGATGCGTAATATTATCCCAGTTGTACAGGGTAGTCTTAAAATACGGTAAAAAAATACTTCGTATAATATGGATATTCGACAAAATAAAATATAACGTTTTGACAAATTTTAACAATATTAAATGAACAACAGAACAACATAACTAATGTGAACTAATCATCCACATGGACAGTCGTCACATGCAATATAGGTAAAGTTTCGGCGACTTTTCACGGCGGCATTGGCCAAAGTCGCTTTGTATATTGCCTGATTTCTACTTCGGGCCGTCACATGCCGAATTGCTGGTTCGGTGACTAGTTCCGAAGTATTTTCCACGGTTGGCCGATCTGTTGCAATGTCGGGTCGTGGAAATTGTTTGATAATCGTTAAGGAAGATGTGCCACACCGAACATGTCGAACGGGCACTCGAAAAGGCCAGGTTGAGGCTAAGCCTGAGGTTATGTTCCGTCGGTTGTCGGTCTAGTCGAACATAAGTCGATTCGTCGCCATTGGCGTGGGAGAAGGCAACTCCATAAACGACGTTGGGGTCGCCTTGGTGGACACTGCTCGATGGGCGATCCATGGCCCAGACATATCTGACACGACGATACTAGCAGCACTTCCGACCGCGTTCTTCGAAGATCGTCTTACAATGGAATACGATCGTCCAATTGCACGTATTTGGTATCACAGACATTGAGAAAAATATCATGTTTAACAGATTTAAGATTTATTCTGGTAACTATAAGCAAACAATAATATGCGTATAGCTATCTGAACAGTAGTGAATGGTGATGTATAATCTGAGTAACTTGTTTGAAATAAAATTATTTTGTTTATGTTGATGTTTTCATGGAAAGATATTACTAGATATAATAATATATACTGCCAATTTATAACAAAGCGAATACTATTTCAAATAAAATAACATCAGAATTTGTAAATTATTAATTTCCAACTTGGTGCATCCTCTCCTCCTCCACACAATCCAGAATCATAATACATTTTGTTTTATAATAAATTTGAGTGGGTATTATTTTATGCAACCCAACAAATTAATATTATAAACCTTAAAAAGTGCGTTTTGCAAGTGTGTGCGAATTAAGTGAAACTCTTTTACAGAGGGTACGGACAAAAGATTGTCGCCTGTCACGGTCGAATATATGGTTCATATTGGGAATTGGAATACAATAAATTTCAACGCATTATCTGTTATCTTATCTTGATAATTTTAAATTTATCTGTGCACAACATTGATGCGAGGTCAGTGGCCGTGGCAGTTACGATTTTTGGTCTCACTCGGCTGAACTCATGGATCTGAGTTACGCTACCACGCCTATAAAAGTTTCACTTCAAGAACATTCATGGGCCATGGGTTTAATGTTTAAATTAAATATAAATTAACGAATATTCATAACATAATGTCTTATTAATATTGTGAACCTACCATGTACGATACCATGTATTAACACTATTATATGAATTATTTCACAATAATAAGATCCATAATAATTAAATTAAAAAAAATATTATCTTATTAGATTATCCATAATGAAATTGCACAGTCAAAAACGTTAATAGCAACTATAATAATTTCTTGAATTTTAAATTCCTGAAATTTTACATCACTATATAGGTGTTAACGAAATACAATTCGGCCCTCGTCCCGTGCAGACGAGTTGAATTTCGTCGGTGTAAAGGACCTGCAACAACTTTGTACACCGCTTCTGTCAGGCGACGGCCCCTCAAAGGCCAGCGGACAAAATCGTGACAAATCGCCCGACACCGGTCTGGGAACGATGAGTATATAAGCAAAGAACGGCGGCGGACCACTCGTTATTCGTTTGGTCGGCGGCGGCTATATAGTCGGTCTGTCAAAGTGCCCGGCCGACCCGAGGGTGGTAGATTTACTGCGGTTTAATGCGGTATCGCCGGGTATACAATATAATATAGTATGCAAGCACTTGCCGATGTATTCCGCGTTAAAATAAACGTCCGTTTGTCGCACTCGTCTGCGTATTATTTATAGGCGTCGTTAACACGTGTTGATGATTTGTCAGCGGCCAGTTACGTCTCCATCTCTGCAGCTGCCCCCCCTCTGCAGCGCCTCACTCCGCTCCGATCGGCTCCTCCTCGTCAACTCCTGCGGAAGTCCGCGCCACTACACTCGGGCCTGCACCGTACAATATTATATTCGTGTAAAGTCGTATCGTATGGCGACATTAAAAATACCCACGCACACTAACTCTCGAGTCGGATTTTTCGACTTTCTTGGCAACCGGCCTGTTGTTTTCTTTCGGCCCCATTGGGAACGTCTCCCCCGGACGGACGTCCTCCCCTCGGACCCGCTCAGACCACGGCCGTTGCCGTCGCATCCGATTTGGCACCGAAACGCACCGAAAACGCCGTCACCGCTGCACCGTATTGTGTATGTATATTGTAGTTGCCATTGCACCGGACTCGTCTTCGTAATCATCATTATTATTATTATTATTATTGCAGGGAAGTCGGTGCAAGCGGCTATATAAAGGAAAACGTAATAATTAAAATAAACTTTATTATTGTTACCACTATTATTATACTGTCCTTTACCACGCACGTTTGACATTACCGCACGGTATCCGACCGCCAAAGGGTTATACGATTTCCACGTGTCGTTTTTCATTAAATTCTGTACAACTATATGAGATGTATATATATATAGGTACTCGTATATATATATATTTAGACATATTATATATTATTGTTTTTTCTGTGGTTTTTTCGTCTAATTACTGTGCTCTGATATTATTATATTCCCCCGGACGTCCTCAACGAGACACGTGCGACGAGCACTTCAAACGAACGATACGGCACGTACGATTTTGTTATTACAGATTTTCAGCAAAGAAACCCCATAAAAGTCGTAGGTACGCTAAAACGCAGTTTCGACGACGTCCTCTATAATGATATAAACGTTCACATAAATGCCTATAGCTCGTTATCTGCCGACAATATCACTCTTTAAATAACCCTGACTCTGAAGCTTCTCGAGCTACCGAATCCCGCCTCGATTAAATTATTTTATCGTATACTATGCATGCGTGTGTGTAGGTAAGTGTATCATGCTCGAATAACTGTGTTCTATTATATTTTTATAGATGGTCGATAACGTAACATGACAATAAATGATATCTATTATAATATATTATAGATATTTCAATCTATTGAATTGTTAAATTTAAATAGTTGATATATTATGTTATTATTTATCAAAATAGCGAAATTGGGTTCACTATGATATTAAAAACTATTCATTCATTTTCATAAGTAAGTTAGCTGAAGTTTCGTCTGTTTATTTTTATAATTGTATTGTTTTTTTGCAGACTTCAAACGACCACGGTTGCACAGTAGACGGTTGCTCGAACTCATCCATATCCTATGATTACTTATTTATTGTAAAGTAAATGTCCAAAGGGATCAAGAACAATACAAAATCTAGGTATACCTACCTATTAATATTTTTACAATATATTTTATAATATATAAATAATAAATATGATACAATAAATAATGCTAAGTTCATAACAGTAATACTTTATAATATATTTTATATTATATTAGTATAATATTATAATTAATTACAATATTATTTAACTGTACAAAATTAAAAATTAAAGTAAAAATATAATCAGTTTATAAAATTAGCTGAGATGAGCTTGTGGAGGTTGAATAACAATCAATCGGGGGAAATAAATGTTAGTTATATCAAACAAAATTATTTGGCATACATTCACTAGAGATTCGATCAATGAGATTAATGTAGAAGTAGGACAGATAGGAATTGAAAATGTTGGACAAAAGCTCAATAGGTATTATGGGACTTGTGAATTCAATAATTGCAGTAAATCAAGATAATATAAAGCATTTACAAGTTTGGACTTAAAGCGTACATCGATAAACTTGCGCCGCAGGAGGCAAGAGAATCTAAATTAAGACTAGCCTGGATAGTTGATAGTATAGAGGAGTATACTTGAGGAGGGGCTTCGATCAACAATTTTCCGTACCTATCTTATAGCCAATGAGGCGTAATATTGTGCACTAAAAGTACCTACCAATTTAGATCTCGTATGGATAGAGGAATATAATATAGCTGGCGATATAGGAATTATATTAATATAATATTTAACTACTATCTGCGAACTAAACAGTATTAATTAAGTACCTACGGTATTATCTAACTACGCCATGAGTCCATAACCTGGGTGCAATAATTATTTATCCTTACGCTCGATACCTATTCAATACGTGCTTAATTCCTTACGCGTTATGGCAGTTGCAAGTACCCCACGGTTCGTAACAGTCCTGCCCCACACCCCCTGCATAATTATATTACACTACCCCACGGGCGTTTCCGATAAAGTCTGTGCGTGCTGACCGTTTAAGCAGCTACAACTACACAGAACAAGAGCTGAGATTTGTGTTTTTGTCAACCGTGACCACTTTACAGTGACATCATTACAGTCGCGTTATAAATTATTTTCTATGGTCCCGAACTCGAAGGATATCATATTATCAAATATCGAAAATGAAAACCAATACCCCACCGTCCGTCTCATCGTCGTTTTGTCCCTGCAGTACGTCCCTGCAGTAACGCTGGACTTTCAAGTCTGTGGAAATCATCAGGAGAAAAAACGCGCCCTACCAGCTGCAGATAAAGCAGGAATACTCCTAGATATATCGGGGATGGTCGACAAGCAGAACCAAAAGAGAACGAATTATTAATATCATGACATGTGAGTACATATTAAACGTAAATATAATATTACTATAATTCACGCCGAGCTCTACATGGGCCACTGAATTACAGTGATAAGAAGGTACTATCGCACGGGATGGCACACTCGGACAGTTCGTATTCAAACTATTGTAAAACCTCCAGGTTCCCAATACCATACTACCCCATGGGCGTTTCCTATAAAGTCTGTGCGTGCTGTGTGTGTGTTAGCAGATACTATACAACTGCACCGAAAAGCGGCTGAGATTAATTGTGTTCTTGTCACCTCGGACAACTACGACCGCAGTCAAGTCGTGTACATATAAATGATTTGCGAAGGTCTCGAGTTCGAAGAATATCATAATATCGAATATTCTAACCCTTCTCATGGCACTGACGCTGCAGGGTGGGAATAATCAGCAGGAGAAACACACCCGACCCACCGACTAAATGGGAGCATACCTATTATAATATGTGGGTAGGTATCCCGATTCCCGAAGCTGGTCGCCGCTCAGGAACAAAGGAGCACAAATTATTCACCGTAAGTATATTATGTGTGCGTATATTATTAAACGTTGACACGTAGACATAATAATATTATAATATATTATACGCCGAACTCACGGGCCACTGAATAACAGTGATAATATGTACTACAACACGGGGTATCACACGCCCCTTGCACCACACTTCCACCTCGGGCATTTCCGATAAAGTATGTACGTTTTGACTGTTGGTGCAGCTACACCGACCAGCAGCTGACATTTGTGTTTTTGTCAGATTGCAGGACATATATACATCAGAACTTGAGCATACAAACGATTAGC